CCCCCCCAAACGCCCGCCGCCACTTACTTCACGTTTACCTAAAAATACCTCCCCTCCTTTTATCGCTCTTATCGCCCTCCCCGAGTAATTTCTGCGCGGAGTTTCCACCCCTTGGGGCCAAGTGGGAGGAACGCAAAGGTTAACCGTGCCCGGGGCCGGGCGGAAAGTACCTCGCCGGGCGGGTTAGGAAAGCCCCACCGGGCCTAGGTGCGCTGTCCTGCCCGCCCGGCCCGGCCCCGCTCCCCTGCCCGGCTCTCCTGTCCTTCGTTTCGCTGCACTTGGGTCACCACAATCCCCTGCAGCGCTACAGCCTTGGGAAAGGGTGGCTGGAAAGCTGCCCGGTAGAAAAAAAGGGGTGTTGGTAGACAGACAGCTGAACGTGAGCCAGCAGTGTGCCCAGGTGGCCAAGAAGGCCAAGAGCATCCTGGCCTACATCAGGAACAGCGTGGCCAGCAGGACTAGGGAAGTGACAGGCTCCCTGCACTTGACACTGGAGGCTTCACCTCAAGAGCTGTGTCATTTTGGGCCCCTCACTACAAGAAAGACATTGAGGTGCTGGAGTGGGTCCAGAGAAGGGGAACGAAGCTGGTGAAGGGCCTGGAGAACAAGCCTAGTGAGGAGCGGCTGAGGGAGCTGGGGTTGATTAACCCAGAGAAAAGGAGGCTGAGGGGAGACCTTCTCACTCTCTGCAACTACCTGAAAGGAGGGTGTAGAGAGGTGAGGTTCAGTCTCTTTTCCCAAGCAACAAGTGATAGGACAAGAGGAAATGGCCTCAGGTTGCACCAGGGGAGGTTTAGATTGGATATTAGGGGGAATTTCTTCACTGAAAGGGCTGTCAAACGTTGGAACAGGCTGCCCAGCAAAGTGGTGAAATCACCATCCCTGGAGATATTTAACAGACGCGTAGACGTAGTGCTGAGGGACGTGGTTTAGTGGTGGTTTTGGCAGTGTAAGGTCAACAGTTGGACTCGATGATCTTAAAGGTCCCTTCCAACATAGACAACTCTGATTCTGTGAGGGCTCTGCTTCCAGAGGAGATGATGGATGGCATTTTCCCTGCAAGTGAAACCCACCTGGGCACCTTGTCCTGGCACACTGGGATTTGGGCCCCGCCGTGGGGGCAGGTGTGACAGCCATGGGCCTCAGGGCTTCTGGGCTGCGCACAGAGCCAGCCATAGCCATCACGGCAACATCCCTTCATTTCTGGTACTACCAAACAGACGTCAGTGCACGCAGGATCCCAAAATAGCATCTCGACATGGCGCCCAAGCCTGCCTCTGCAGGGTACAACGCTAATAGATCAGGCAAATGCAAGCAGTGTAAATAGTAGTGCTGTTTCACAGTCTTTACCAACGAAAGGCAGCTGAAGCGTTTTCAGACCCTACGCTATGCCTCGCGGAGCTGAGATAAGGGTGGTTTATCATCTGCATGTCAAAGGTCAGAAGCTGAACACACACTGGGTTTGTTCAAGGTTGCTGAGGAAGAGACGACACTGGAGCAGTCCTATACTCCCACTCTTGGGAGTTTTTAAACACTGTATCATCTTTTTTGCTTCATCTTGGAAAAATCCCCCATTTGACTGTCATTCCTCAGGCAGCCATGGCCCAAATGGGGATCTGGGATGTGAGAAGGCCGTATGCAGTGGGGGTGACATAAAAGGGTATGACTTCAAATATTGTGGCATTCATGACCTAGAAGCTCTATGATTTCAGAGGTCGTAATTTCAAGCTATGTAAGTGGTGAGGTACATGTCCCACGAGAGCTCAGTTGGGTCCTGTTTGCTGAAATGAGATGCAGTAGTGACAGGTAAATTAAACTCAGTTTACTCCTATTTGAGACTATAGTGTCTAAGTCCTGGGTCATGATTTTGAAAATTCATGTTGATTCAAATGTATCTGGAAAAAAAGGGTCCAGGAGGAGACACAAAGAAAATAAGGGAATACTTTTAAACAAAATCCCAGCAGAAGCAAAAGTCAATGAAACTGAGATCTCTCTACTTTGGGATTTACACCTGCATAGTCTAAGTAGTGCTGATAGGAGGAAGACTACAGCTAATACTTCCTATGGATATATTCTGTATGAATCTCTTTATCAGATCAGAACTTAAATTATCATAAGCATCATAAAGAAAACACCTGTCTCCTCAACAGCATGAATTAACTTGTGAATTTCTAAGCATAGACTGTTTACCATACAAATAGGAAACAGAGTCCTTACATGCCCTACTCCTGATGAGAACGACGTCCAAGGATTTAGACCTACAGTCTAGCATGGAATAAAAAAATGGTTAATTTTCATATAAAATCTGAGAATAAGGAGCCAAAATGAACACACTAATCATTAATTTGAACAGTGAGAACATAATGAAAAGGATCCCAGTACTGGGTGAGAACTATGCACCCCGAATAAGTAAAAGTCACCAGTATCAGCTGTGACAAAGAAGCCAAGAGCTGAAGATCCCAATAGTTGCAGCCTCTATCAGTAGAGGCCACTTTAACTCTTCAAAGTGTTCTGGTGTATGTAAAATGCAGCTTCTCCCTTTTTGTTTAGCTTCATTCCTCCAATGGTGGAATCCAAAGACTTAAAAATATTTACTTTGCAGAGATAATATCTTTGAATTCATTATTGTTTAGGCAGCGTTTATAATGTAATAATATAAACTGCATCTCAAATAACATTATGCAGGAGATTTGAATAATAATTCCAGTTTTGCAAATGGAGAAACTGAATTATCTAAGGGCACGTAAGAGACTTGTAATGAGGATTTTAAGACCACTGGAACTGGATTTAAGTCTCGGCCCACTGTTGGTCCTTGGAGATATTTGAAACTCAGCTGAACAAGTCCCTGAGCAGTCTGGTCTAATTGGACCTGTTTAGAGCAGAGGGCTGGTTGGGCCTCAGGGGGCTTTTCCCAACCTAAGTTATTCTATGAATTTTTATGGTGGAAAGTGTGTAATTCTCTGTTCTTATATTACATGTATACCAAATTTTTGACGTGTTGTAGCTGTGGCCCCTTTCCAGTACTTATATTTGTTGAATTGAAAACAAAATGTAATTGTCTATCACAGTGTTGGCAAATAGACTCTCTTGTCAAGAAACACTTTTGAAAATGTTGCATCTGCAATGAGTGCTGACTAGAGCTGGTCAAAAACCCCAAAGCATTTCTTACAAAACCCATGTTCCTTTTTTGGTTGAATATTTCCAACCATCTTGGCATCTTACACAATTAAAATCCCCATAGAAGGCATTTTGGTATACTTAAATTAATTGCACTTTCCCCCAACTTTCCTATTTTAATAATTTAAAATCTTGCTGGACTACAGTAATAGTTTTGGATTTGGTAGTTTCACTTGATCCCACTGACATGCAAATGGTATTTCTTTGCTGTGTAACTAAATAAAAGGATCACATGCTTGTCTGTCAGATCCAATTGCATTTGCTATAGCTTGGGTTCTTTTTTTTTGTACAACGTTTGAATCTAAACTACATCTGTTTCCTATAAAGAAGTCAGTGTATTTTGCAAATCTTTCATAACCCATCAATTTAAAATGATGGAAAAATTCAAATTCAAATTCAGCTGTTCCCAAGAAACAGATTGCCAAGGACTCATAGGCCTCTCCCGAAGCAGTGCGGACCATGAACAATCCACCTATGCTGTTTTTTATATCCAGTAAAATTCTGTATAAAATTCCAACTGCCCGATGCAATACACAGAATTTTTAAGAAAATGTAATTTTCTAATTTTGACAAAGTTGTGATGCATTTCTGTCATTTCTAGGCTCAGTTCTCACTGTGAAAAGTAATAATGTCAACTTTCAAAACAGAATATTTACCCCCCCAAATAGTATTTTCCATTATTTTTTTCATTAATGCCTACCTTAATTACCAAGTCCACACTACTGAACTTCCTGATGCACAGGGCATAAAGAGAAAATGGTGCATTTTAAGGAAAAACAATGATCCAAAATGACCAATACTCTAAAGAGAGTTTTCCGTGAAGGCTTCTGTTGATGTCTCAGGGACATTTCTTGTGGAATTACAAATCTTGTTTGGGTTTGCAACCTCAGCGGCTTCAGCAGGCCTGCGGAAAACAATCTGGCAACATCTGAAGCATTATCTTTTTGCATTTACCTTCCTGACTCTAACAGTTTGGTCAATATTATGCAGAGACAGGTGGAATAACACCTTCTATT